CATTTTTAGATTCATCTCCCCACTATGCATAACAGCAAATGGGCATCATTTACTACTCCTAACACACTATTATTCAATGTTCACAAACAGAATGCTTGGGAGACGGGAACCAAGGAGAAAAAAATGGAGACATAGACCATGATGAAGAAGCTAGGATCTTCGCCCAATCAGGTTTATTGTTGCTGTCATGAGTTACCACTACAATATAATATTAGTAATATGGTCTCTATTTGAACTTTTATTAATGCAAATGTCGGTTCTGCTCCAGATGTTTATTTTCAAACATACCGAGTGGAACAACAGGATGGTGATGGAGCTCCCAATAATGATGCTCATGACAGAGTCTATATTACCCTGCCCAAAAAGCATCATGTGCTTAGAAAAGTTGGTGATTGCCGCCATTGTGGAGCTTTGCGATTTCAATATGAGGGGCCTGCGTTTTGCTGCAGAAAGGGGAAAGTGGATGTATTTACTCCAGATGTTTGTGAGGAGTTGAAACAGTTGTTTACAAGTCTAGATGATGAGGATGCTAAATATTTCAGGGAAAATATACGGTATTTCAACTCCCACTTCTCATTCACAAGTCTGGGAGTCACCCTGGATCGGCGAGTCAGCACCGCAGCAGGAACCGGCGTATATACATTTCGTGCGTGTGGGGGGTTATACCACGCTCTTGATGATCTGGAGTCTGGTGATAATGGCCCTCGACATTTGCAGCTATATATTTATGATACAGATGAAAATTTGTTTCATAGGGTTAAGAGGTCTCCAAATCTTAGGTTAGATCTCATACGGAAGATTCTGGCAATACTAGAGCATAACCCTTATGCTCAAGTATTTAAAAGCCTTGGTGCTGTTCCGAATCTAGATGAATACAGGATCTCATTAAATACCGATATCAAGCTTGATCAACGGAGGTACAATGCGCCAACAACTTCTCAGGTAGCAGCAATATGGGTTGAAGGGAGTGACCCACAAAAGACCTTTGATAGAAGTGTTATTGTGTACGGGAAAGGTGAGCGTCCCCTGTATATTAGAGCATACTATGGTTGCTACGACCCTTTGTCATATCCACTATTCTTCCCACGTGGAGAGATCGGTTGGAATCGTTTGATGCCATATATTGAGGCTGCCGATGACACAAACCAATATTCAGTAGATGATTCTGCACGACAAGAGTACCCAGCCTATGTTCTTCCTTCAGGTATAATGTTCATAATTAATTTACACATTTTAATCAAAGTTAAACTTATTCAATAATCCATCTTGCAGACGATAACATGATTAGAGAACAACTTGGTCATGACGCACAGCATGAAGACCACACTGCTGATTTAGCTGCAGGTTGTTTTTATATTCTTATGATTATATTACACCAAAATTATGTTCATTACTGATTTATACATATTAATCAAAGTTAACCTTATTTAGTTTCCATCTTTCAGACGATAACATGATTAGAGAAGAACTTGGTCATGGCGCAGGGCATGAAGAACAAGCCACTGAGTTAGCTCCAGGTATTGGACGCGATTCACGTTTTTATATTCGTATGGTTCTATTATACCAACTTTAATGTTGGTAAACAATTTCTAGATGACTACGAGGATAACCCAGATGAGGATTTCGGTGACAATGAGATGAATGCCACAAAATCAAGGAAATATGTTAGCGCAAGGGAGTACTATGCCTTCAAACTGCAGGTCCGGAAGAAGCTTTTTAACATCATCTTGTTTGGGGGGCGCCTCTTCCAACAGTGGGCGGTTGACATGTACATCAAGATTGAGACAATGAGGCTTGACTGGTACTCAAAGCCAGCAAATCAAAAGGTCATACGCGCTGACCTCTACCAGGTAACATGCTTGTGTTTGAAGGCATAGTAAATTGTATTACAGATGCCACTCTTTGCTTCAACATGGGATACTAATTGGCGTCAAATCTTGATTTACTATAGGGCCTTGTTGACACCGTAATCGCTGGCGAGTCACGCGGTGATCGTATTGGGAAGAGAATCGTGCTTCCACGTACCTTTCCTGGTGGTGACCGTGACATGCAGCGCAGGTTCCTCGATGCAATGGCAATAGTTCAAAGATGGGGTAAACCGGACTATTTTATCACGATGACATGCAATCCGTACTGGGAGGAGATAACTATTGAATTGTTGCCTGGACAGCTGCCACAAGACCGTCCAGACCTTGTGGCAAGAGTATACAGAGCTAAACAACGATCCATGATGGACTTACTGATTAAGGGTAAGCATTTTGGAGAAGTTGCGGCTTATGTACATGTCACTGAGTTTCAGAAACGAGGCCTCCCTCATGAGCATATACTTCTAATCATGAAAGCAAAAAGTAAGTTAAGGACCCCGGATGACTATGATCGGGTGATATCGGCATAGATACCCGACAAAAATAAATATCCTGTTCTCCATAATCTGGTGGTCAAACACATGTTGCACGGTCCATGTGGCGCGCTCAAGAAAAGTTGCCCTTGCATGATAGATGGACAATGTCGGTTTCATTACCCTCGAGATTTCTGTGATGCTACATTACAAGGGAAAGACTCATATCCCATCTATAGAAGGAGGGATGATGGGGTGAGAGTTAGGATCAGAGGAGCTGATTTGGACAATAGATGGGTGGTCCCTTACAACCCCTTTCTGCTGATGACATACAACTGTCACATTAATGTCGAAGCATGCTCGAGCATCAAGGCAGTGAAGTACTTATTCAAGTACATCTACAAAGGGCATGATAAGGCATCATTTGCGTTCCATCAGGATATTATCAATGATGGGGGAATCATTGATGAAATTCGACAATATAGGGATGCACGCTATATATCTCCTCCCGAAGCTATCTACAGGATTTTTGGCTTTAAAATGTTTGGTGTCAGCCCAGCTGTGTTGCAGCTCCAGCTTCATTTGCCAAACATGCATACAGTCGCATTTCAGGCTTATGAAAATCTGCAAGATGTTGTCGCTCGGCCATCTTCTTCCAAATCCATGCTTACCGAGTACTTTCAGATGAACCAAAAGTATCCAGAGGCACGAAAATTGTTGTACAGAGAGTTCCCAGAACATTATAGGTGGATATCCGGTAATAAGAAGTGGCAACCGAGGAAAAATAAGAGATCACAGATTGGAAGATTGGTGCATGCACACCCTGCTGAAGGAGAGAGGTACTACCTGAGGGTGCTCCTAAACCATGTCCGAGGTGCCACTTCATTTGATGATTTAAAAACAATAAATGGCAAGCCATGCGGATCCTTCAGAGAGGCGTGCGAGCAATTAGGCCTCATTGAGCATGACAGGACACTTGATGATTGCATGACAGAGGCAGCAACATTTCAAATGCCTTCTGCTCTTAGACGGTTGTTTGCGACTATACTGGTATTCTGTGAGGCAACACAAATCCGTCAGTTGTGGGACAAACATCTAGCATCCATGTCTGAAGATTATCGCCGTACTCAATCGAATGAGGCAGCACTAGAGCAAATGGTCCTTAGGGATATTAGGGATCTGTTGCAATCCATGGGAAAGAATATTAAACACTATGGACTTCCGGATCTGGTTGACGCAGATGGTTCTTCTGACATTGAGAATAGAGAGGTAACAGAGGAGAGAGAGGTCACGGTGGACCAAGAACATCTAGATCTATTTAGTTGTTTGAACAATGAGCAACTAGCTGGTTTCAATGACATAATGGAGCATGTGACGAACCAGAAAAGCCAGATTTTCTTCGTTGATGGCCCAGGAGGCACTGGGAAGACGTACCTGTACAAGGCATTGCTTGCGAAGGTCCGTTCGATGGGCCTAATAGCGATCGCAACTGCTACATCAGGTATTGCAGCATCGATAATGCCTGGAGGTCGGACTGCACACTCCAGATTCAAAATTCCAATCAAGCTGACTGACAACAGCATGTGTAGCTTCACAAAGCAGAGTGGTACGGCAGAGTTGCTTAAACAGGCGTCCTTGATAATTTGGGATGAAGTTGCTATGACAAAGCGTCAAGCAGTTGAGACGCTTGATAGATCGCTACAGGATATAATGGAATGTCCTTTACCATTTGGTGGAAAGGTTATCGTCTTTGGTGGCGATTTCAGGCAGGTACTCCCCGTTGTGACACGAGGGACAAGAGCACAGATCACTGATGCTACACTGTTGAGATCCTATCTGTGGCAGAAGATCCGGAAGATATGCCTCACACGCATAGAATTTCTAGCATCCACTCAACTCTTTTTAAAAGAAAACTCTTACAAATACTCCTTCCGTTTCTTTATATAAGGTGTATTTTTTCTGACACGGTGACCAGGGCACATAAAGCATAATTGGTTTGCTACCAACATTTGGTATTGCCAATATTTGGCAAGCCAACATCTAGCAAAATCAAAAGTTGCCAACATTTGGCAACTTCTTGTGAGATTGGCAATGAAAATTGACAAGCAACCAATCTCTAGCCAATATTTAGTTGTTGCCAAAATTTGGCATGCCAATTTTTGGCATCAAACCAATTATAATTTCAAAATATTTGGAATGAAATTACCTTTGGATAATTTGTTGGTCTGCAGAAATTTAATCAATTAGGCAAGGAAAGGAAGATATACATACAACCAGGAGAGATAGTTTCCTTATTATTATTATTATTATTATAAGAGATACAGAAAATCGAGAGAGAGAGATACATTCCTTTTTTTTCTGAAGGGGTGAGAAATAAATTATGAGGAATTGGAATAAATGCACTCTGAAATTTTATCAAAAAACAAATACACCTTATATAAAGTAATTGAGAGAGTACATTCCATCTAACGTTTGGAGGAAATTAATTGGACGGCTGGCGCCCAACCGACGCCTATTAGCAGGCTCGCAGCCTTTTATTTACGCTGTTCGAAGAGAGAGAAAAAGAGTCGTTTATTAGGGCATTGCGTCCCATAGCAACTGCTGGGCGGCGGACTCGTCGGCGAAACCTCCCCGGCGAACCGACCTAAACCCTAACCTTCCAATGCCAGCGGCGATGGCCGGCGGTTCAGGCGGCATGGCCAGCGGCCCTCGATCCCTCGATTGCCGCAGCTTCTGGAAGGCCGGCGCGTTCGAGGCCCCCTCCGCCGCCGCCCGCGGGTTCCACGGTCCGTCTTCTCCCCCTCTGGTCATGCTTTCGTTCCGCGACTTCGACGTGGATCACGCTGCTGATGCTGCTGGCCATTCTCGCAGACATGCTGGAGACAGGGGACTTCGACCGCGCGCGGGTGCACCCCAAGTTCCTCCACACCAACGCGACCTCCCACAAGTGGGCGTTCGGAGGTTGGTGCCCCTCCGCCTCTTGTCCTTTCCGTTCCATTGTTTGTTTTGCTTTTGTGGTGGTCGAGTAGGTGGCGGGGGTTATTGGGGTTTTACACATTATAATAAGGGTGAAATTGCTGTCCCAAACTAAGGGGGCTAGCATTTAATAAAGGAAATTAAGAGAAGCTAGGCTTGTTCGACAAAGGGGGACATCAGGTAATCGGAATTGTGATCCTCTACTACTTTGGTGGGGTTGTGCAGCAAATGATGTTAATGTTAATTTTGTTGGATCAAGTGATTCTCAGTGGAAGGGGATTTTATTCAACTGTTCCAAAATCGATGGTGTACATTCATAGTTTCGCATGATGTTTATCGGTTTGCTGGCTTGCTGTTTGTACCAGTGACGTGTAGTAGCTTCGCTCCTTAGAATTGCACTTACATGTAGTTTTTCTCTATCATCTCAACTCTCGAGTGGATACATAGTAACTTAATATTATCTAGACCGGTGGCACCGGCTGATGTGATATCAGTACCTGTTTTGCTCTTTAGATCGGAGGCTGCATATGGTATGTCTTTATCATCTCGGGAATATATAAAATAAATTTGTATAACCTGAACTACGGCAATGCAAGGTGGGATAATTGTAGTTCTGTTATAATCCCTGTGGGTTTGTGATTCTAGCTGGATAAAGATGGTGTCTCCAGTTATCTAAAACCACAGGATTCCCATGCGTAACAATAAAACCACAGGATTGCCATGCGTAACAATCATATTTTGGTGCTTACTCCTTCAGCGCGAGGGCGGTAAGCTGATTGCTCAGTCAACTGTGTGTTCTCTAGGCTACAGTGCTGAGCATAAGGGATACTGTTGTTGGGATCCCACTCAGCTCCACATGCTTCGATCTGACATTCCTCACCCAGAGCACATTCTAAATTGATTCATTCTACTCCCACCCATCTCCACTGTTTCGTGTTCTATGGTACGTTTGTGAGACCATCAGTCGATGCATATTCTTTACTCCAGCTCATTGCAGCCTCAGGTTTACTCTGATGTGACACGGGCATGATCACTCTGATTGCAATGCTCTTTTGCCCTAATGTGTGGTCCTTGGGTCCTCTCTGATGGCATCGAATTCCATGAAGCAGCTGTTCTAGTGAACGACTGCTGTGGCAGAGTTGATGGTGGCTGAGACCACTTGGCTTTGATGGAAGAATGTATTCTTTAGTATGCATCTTTCTGTTTAGAATGTTTGCGCTTGTCCATCTGAATTTATTGCTTTTACTAATACTAAAGAACGCATGCTACTTACAGTTCAAGGAAGAATGTAGTTTGGTGACAAGATGCAAATTAGATGTGTTGTTGGAATGTTCTTTTAATTATAATAAGCAGAGCAATTAGATTGTGTGGTAATTTCTAACATCTGTTTCTTTATCATACATGTTACTTGTGCTGCCCTGGTCGATTTTTTCTAACATTTACTCTCTTGTCCTTTTCTATTGCAGCTATAGCTGAACTTCTTGACAACGCAGTTGACGAGGTTTGCAATATCTGTTAGAAGTTCCATACATTTATCTCCAACACTGCTGGTCCCTTAGAATTGCCATAGCCTAGCTTGTTACTGGGCGAATTTTATGAATAGAAATAATTATCTTCTGATATGGTTTCTCAGATTTGCAATGGAGCCACATTTGTAAAAGTGGATAAAAGCATCAATTTAAAAGACAGTAGGCCAATGCTGGTTTTCCAAGGTACCCAGATACAATGCAAAACATGAAACTGCAATATGATTAGTGGAATAGGTTGATCAATACAATTTTCTTCACCAAGTTCTGCTAACTTGGAGCCACTGTCACAGACGATGGAGGAGGAATGGATCCTGAAGGTGTACGGCAATGTATGAGTTTAGGATTCTCAACCAAGAAATCAAAGACAACCATTGGCCAGTGTATGCATCGTTCTGTTTGAGTTGGAATATTTTATTACTCTGCTAATTAATTTTGGCTTTGAAGATGCATAGCCTAGTAATTGAGGAAACTGGAATGGAAAGTAATAATAATGTTGTTACATTCAGCATACTGCATACCATCTTAGTGTACTTTAATCCCTTTCAACACCTCGTACATTTATGATATTGTGTTGTACTGTTGAATAGTAGAATAACACACCATTTGATGGAAGTTATGAGAGGCTTGAATAAAGTTCTTACCGGTTAAATGCTCTTCATTTTTCTGTTAGTTTATATGATGATGGTATAGTGTGTAAGCATGTATGTATTCACTGATTATTTTTCATTCAAGCCTAAAAGGGTAGCTAGAAACCCGGATGTCTATAGTTAGGTATATGGTTCACCAAATTAAATAATGGAATGATCCCTCATTGATAACACGATTTTTTGGACTTATATTCCGCTGTAGTTCTTGGCTCACCTCACAAATATTAGAATGACCTTTACTTCAATAGTTTAATTGAAGAGATCTGAAGGACTGGAGTATCACTGAAGAACTAGCCATGGACAGGGTGCGTGTAAGCTTGCTATCCATGTGCCAGAACTATGCGTTGGTCGTGAGATCTTATATGTTTCACCTCTAGCCTACCCCAACTTGTTTGGGATTAAAGGCTTTATTGCTTTAATAGTTTAATTACCGATTCACACTTGGTATGAAATAGGTATATGGTTCACCAAATTAAATCATAGACTGATCCCTCATTGGTAGCAATATTTTTTAGACCTATATTCCACTGTAGTTCTTGGCTCACCTCACAAAAATTAGAATGACCTTTACTTCAATAGTTTAATTACCAATTCGCACTCGGTATGAGATGTTTCTGCAAATCCAAGCCTAAAGTATATGTTTAGAGTTTTAGTTCAACTAAATATTTAAGAAACTTTATTTTCACCTATTATCTAGCTACTTAATGCTTCATTTTCCTTTCTAAAACATTTGTTATGTCTATCAATTATTAAGTTCCTACCTTTGTCAATATACAGATGGAAATGGCTTTAAGACGAGCACAATGAGACTTGGTGCTGATGCAATTGTTTTTACTCGTGCAATCCGTGGGAGGTAGATAATCTTCATTCCAGTCATTATTGATTTGTTTCTAATTTTTATGGCATTTGTTGGATTCTGTGTATTTATCAGTGATTAACACAATTTCTTTCTCCTGCAGTAATGTTACCTTGAGTGTTGGCTTGCTCTCATACACTTTCTTGAGGAGAACAATGAAGGATGACATAGTTGTCCCTGTGGTATGTCATGTTGGACTAGTACTTTAGTAGTGTATCGTTCTTGCGGCTTTCTCTTAGGAGCTGACATTTTCTATCACTGTTACAGCTCGATTTTCAAATCCAAGATGACCACATTGTACCTTTGGTGTATGGTTCACAAGGTGATTGGGACAGTAGCTTGAAGATAATACTTGATTGGTCCCCCTTTTCTTCAATGGAAGAACTGCTACAGCAGGTGGCATTCGTCCCAGACAGTATTTTTAGTCCATTCCCCAGTCGTATTTTGAGATCAAGTAGTGAGTTTTCACTATCAGTATATTTGATTTTTCATGAATGAGTTAGCCAAATATTTTAGGTGCAAAGGCATGATATGATATTAAAGGTACAGATATGTTGTGTCTCTTGTTCAGCTCACATATAAAATCGATCAAATTTTTTCAACAAACTATGATAAAATATTTGTAGTTATCTATTTTTATTTTGATGGAACTTCCACCATTTAGCATATATATTCAAGAAAACTGAAAATATGTAGAAGAAATAGAGTTCTTTTTTTTTTGAAGTTTTTAGATGCAAAGCAGCAATCGAGCATCTTAGTGCGTCGTATATATGTTTTAGAAGCCTCCAAGCTCTCCCTCAAAACAAATCCATGTTAGGCAAGGGTGGGTAAGTGAACCAAAGATGTATTGATATTCATAGACTTGCGCTGTTGTCATAATCCAGATTGGCATGCTGGAGCTGATCCATACACATTTTCCTTCAGCAGTCTGCTCTTGTTTAGGCAACATCGAACTCAAAATATTGTCTATAGAGCAAACTAACAACAAATGGAATACTTCTAGTTTTGCAATTCTAGCCTTAATTTCTTTATTCCAAAATGGCATCGTGAATGGTTTTTTGATGCTATATAGCACATATGCTTGACTTTAGTTGGGGTTCTTTAATGGCTAGTTTAGTCGATTATCACATTTTCTGAATCTATACCCTGACCATAACAACTGCACAGTGATGTATACCTAGGCAACCGACTCTTTAAATGTGCATATATTGATAATTTCCTTGTCTGTTCAGTTCAAGGATATTGAGAGCCATGGAACTAAGGTGGTGATATATGATCTATGGATGAATGATGATGGCCTTTTAGAACTTGACTTCGATGATGATGATGAGGTAAATATTCCTGCAGTTTATGTTTCAAGTACAACACATTACCTTCGCATTCTTGTAGAGAACATTTAAACAAGCATTCAAACTTGTTTTATGAAGCAAACATTGTTGCTGACGGGAATCCTGTGATTTTAGATAATTAACTACGCCACCTTTATCCTGTTACTCTGTTAGCATCACAAACCAGAGGAGAATAGAGCAGAACTACTTTCCCATGTATAGTAGACTGTTGCCCTCCCATGTGCATTTCTCTACCATTTTAGAAGTCTGAATTGGTGTTGACATCGGTGGAGGTGATGTATGCTGCTCCCTTCTCCATCCCACCCGTCCCATAACAATTAGCATCTACAAGCGGGCCCCAAAACCTATGCTGTTCCTTGCTCTCCTACGTCTTCGTTGATCTTCTAATAAATCGGAATAACTACGCAAATGCGCTAGCGGCAAAGGGGAAGGCCCCACAGAAAGTTATGAAGTGGACCCGGCCCGCTCAGGGAGTAATAAAGTTAAACGTTGATGCTAGTTTCCATTCGGATACTGGGGCGGGAGCTACTGGAGCTCTGCTGTGGGACTGCAATGGAATATTTGCTGGGGCATCCTGTTCTTATAAAGAGCTTGCTTTGGAGCTTGGACGTAGTTTCCATGGAGGCATGTGCCCTTCTCGAAGGACTGCGTCTTGCTGATGAGATGGTGATTCATTTGCTGGCCGTTGAATGTGACTGATGGAAATTGTACAGGCCATGCTGGATCCATCAGAATACCGTGCTTCGGGAGCTGTGATTACTGATGATTGTCGGAAGTTGATGACTTCTTTCGGCAAGGCGATGGTTGTGCATTGTGCCCGGGAAAGCAATGCCGCAGCGCATAGGGGGAAACTTTCTATGGAATGGCGTGATCATCCTCCTGACTTCTTGATCCCCTCTCTTGTAACAGACATGATTATTGTTTAATAAATTTCACGGAAGTTAAAAAAATTGGAATAACGGCTGTTTCTTTGATTTTCCTAAAAATCAAAAAATGAGGCCATGCTGCCGATTTCTCCTAAACCAAGCAAGTTCTGTGTCTCTGAAGTATTCCTTTTGTTCGCTGCTGCCTGCTGGGATGGAGACATGTCCAGCGGGACCACACTACCCACATCTACCAAACCAAACAAGGCCGTGCTACCAACGTTTCTCTCTGTTTGCCGTTGCCTGCCGTGCCGCTGACATGTCCACAAAGGGGCTCTGATCCATTGAGATCATGATGAGCAGCAAATATGGCAAACCTCTGAGCCCACCCTCGTGTGCATTGCCATTCAGCATGGTTGATAGGCACCGTATGGCTGACAAAAGCAATGGTCGCTTCATCCAGTTAATCCTGCTTTCGAAAAACAAACGGAAATGGTGCATAATGCAAATGAAGAATGATTTCTGTTTCATGCCTGTGGAAACCACCTTGCTGATCTGTGCAATGTCAAGGGAATAGGGAATAATTTTCCATGAGTCGCATGCTCTCTGCGGAACTGATGTTCATTCTAGGAAACTATCTGTGCGTACAGAAGCACATGTACTGTTGTTGTATTCTTATAGCAGAGTTAGGCTACTTGTGCATGTGTTCACAATTTTATGGGAAATCAACAATTGAGCAAGAATTATTGTTGTTCTTTACTTGAAAAATATGGCTGCATTTCACATTTAGACAGGTACATATTAGATCATGAGACAATAAAATATTGTTATTTAAAACTTGAGTTGTGGCAGAGCATGGTGACATGCCTTCATACCACTCTACCATTCTTGTACTAATTGAAATGCTTATACCTTGTTGCTCAATTTCAGGACATATTACTTAGAGATCAAGCTAAAGCTACTGCGGGGACGACAAAGATCCAAAAAGAAATTATTGAGCAACATATATCCCACAGACTCAGATTCTCTTTGCGAGTAGGTTTTATTTCTGTACATTCTATTCTTTTCCCTATCTGCATATGACTAGTAACTTTTGTTTGTCAATTTACAGGCGTATACTTCCATCCTTTATCTTAAGAAGTATGCAAACTTCCAAATTATATTAAGAGGAAAAGTGGTTGAACATATAAACATTGCTCATGATCTGAAGTTCAAGAAAATGTTTACTTACAAGCCTCAAGTCGCGCTTGATTCTCAAGTGGTAAGTAAATGTGTATAACAGGCACATGTGCTCTCATTATTTTGACAAATTTAAAGTGTGGGGTTTAAAGTTTGAAAATATCTTCCGAAAGAAACTTGCATGCCAGTATGCAAAGAATGACTATGTATTTGCAATATTCTCTAAAAAAGCTGAGTTGATTTGTACTCAACAATAAAGTTCCAAGAAAAACTTGCACATAGATATTAGAATGGTCTATGTATTTGCATCATTTGGTGAAAAAATATTTGATTTTAATTAAACACTAAAATGACAAGCCTGCCAAAAGGTTTATATGCTCTATTTTTTTTCACATAGGCCAAAAAATTTAAAATTCTGCTCGAAACTTTGCAGCTGCTAATGATACTCAACCATTTTACATGTTTTTTTTTTCAAATCTTACATCAGCACGCGATTTTTTTTAGCAGGGCTCAGGTTGCACACTTGAGGTTATCATGTATAAATTGTACTCCCTCTGTAAACTAATATAAGAGCGTTTGGATTACTAAAGTAGTGATCTAAATGCTCTTATATTAGTTTACGGAGGGAGTAATAGTCATTTGGCCTCACCTTGAGGTTATCGTTTATAGTAGTCATTTCTTCCATGTGCTACTCTATTTCAGAATAGTCTGCATTTAATGCCATTGATACTTTGCTAATTGTTATCATGCCTATGTTGGCTTTCCTCTCCAATTCCATTATTTTGTCTGTTCGAGCACATTGTAGTTGCAGAAACAGTCACTTTTGTTTAAAACTGCATTTTGACTGAAACTGTAGGTCTCAGTGAAGGTAGATGTCGGATTTGCCAAGGAGGCGCCAGTTTTGGGCATTTTTGGGATGAATGTCTACCATAAAAATCGACTAATAATGGTAACCACTCTATCCAGTTCTGGGATGTTTGTTTGTTTGTTTTTTCCCTATTATGTGATATGCTGCTTGAATCTCAACATGTAGGCAGTGTTTTAAGTCCTGCAGTCTATAGTGAGAACTTATTGTTCTCCAATGGATCGGTGTGCCAGACTGACTGTCTTACATTAGTGAACAGAGGTAGTACTTTGCAACAAAGTGCCTTTGTTGCGCATTCTCCTCAAGATTTAAGTAGTGAATTCGTGGAATACTAGAATGGTGAAAGGATACTTTGCCTCTGATTTGATCGTCTCGAGGAGGTCACTTGAAGGCAAAGGTAGCGCTGTGAAAGATAAATGCACTCCTTTGCTTCCAGATCCACCAAGCGGTGAGCTGGATGAAGCAGCAAGTCCCATGCCTCAGCCTGGACGGGGTGATCCGATCACCGCCTTACACCAGGCGGC